AAGAAATTCTAAAATTCTAAGTACAATTTTGCTTGTCTAATCAGGTAAAATATGTGTTTTAATATAATACTATGTTCCAACTTTCTTTCACCATATTTTAAGCAAGTAAAATTTCATTTCAATGTTACTAGTAACTATAGTATCTATTTACAGTTAGTGAGACTGTTTCTCATTATAGACTAAATATGACAAAGGTATGTATTTAGACATAGCTTATGGCGACATTAACCATCACCATTGTACATTATTATTTGGGTCGTATAACCATAATAATAATGCATACACTCAACATAGCCCCGCACTAGGGAAACCATGTATCGCGGGTGCCTTGGATGGACACACACACATGGACAACCACAAATTACACCCAAACTCATGAGAGAAATAAATGTAGGCCATCGAAATATTTCTCCCGGCCCGAGAATCGAACCTGGGACCTCAGCGTGGCAGTTCATGCTAACCGTTCGGCCACGGAGGCAGTTGAAGTATCCCAAGTATTTTTTCCACTACATGCCATTTGACCTCTAGTATACTTTACGAACTAAGCAATACCCAAGATAACAAAAACTCTGACATTGTGAAATACACGATTGTTTCTTTGTAATATTGTGTGGGTATTAGTATAGATCGAATATTCGAGATGTCAAGTGAGAATGGTGTGTCATCTAGGAGTGGCGAATGCGTGACTTACGGTCGTCGATCTTTTCAAGAGCATGAAACAATTTTTGTAAATGACGAAATGCTCCCATTCTAGTGGTTGGTCGTAGCTACACTGTGGCGGCATGGAAAACTGTGGCCTAAATCCGCGTCCGAGAGGAGACCCGGGCCCAGTAGTAATTAGCAGTAGTAGAGCTCTTTATGAAAGAATTCGTCTAGGGAAGTACGCTATAGTAAGGTGGCATTTTACTATTGCGTACCGGTTTTGAAGGGTTCCTCCTTGGAGACAGAAATAAGTAAGGTGGTACTAACTTGGACAAACTCTTTCTCAAGGAGTTCTACTGGTACTCTTGGTTAAATTACAGGCTCCTGGGACTTGTCAACTTATGTCTCAGGGTGACGGGCGCAGTGGTAGTGCACCTTCGATCTTTGCAACTTAAAGCTCTGAGTGGCACTGTAACTGTTATGGACAGGCATGTAGCTTATATCACGCGCACGACTCGTTCGTCCCGTCACTTGATGTTATAAAAAAATTACATGATTATTACAACAAGGGTACCAAATGCAGTTAGAAATAATGCTTGCTAATTAAAAACAAATAACAACATTTTAATATTTTTAATATGTTATCCCAACACCTAACACACCACGTGACGTCATACGAAGGTAGACAACCGTCACCGTTCTCACTGTTCGCTTATTATCTTGTGTTTTTTCTCCCTTTAAGTCACTTTTTTACACATTCTACATGTCTTCGGAGTTGATATGACGTAGTGCCGTTTGCGCGGCATTGTTTTTTTAAATACATTCTAACACATTTTTAGGAACTTGAAAAGTTTTGTTTAAATTAAATAATTTCTTCTTGGCTGTATATTATATCCATTTTAGTTAATTTAAAAACTTTAAAGTTTTCCGACTCCCTATCGTGACATTTATAATGTGGTAGTACTTACTACCGGTTGTGGTCTTGAGAGAATTCCGTTGCTCTGGTACTCATACTACTGGGAATTCCCTAGTTTGAGACCAGGTTATTGGTCTTGTTGCCAGGCACATTAACTATTTAAATGTCTTTAACATTGAAGAAAACAAAAAATATACCGTCAGAGTACATCAAGCCTGACGATTTGGACTTTAGACGTAGTTCTTATTGTAAATGCCACAGAGTGGATTGATTTTAATTCAACGGCCTCCGTGTTCGGGTAGCTTGCACACCGCTTTTAATGGTGTCGCCATCTCTGAGGTCCCGGGTTCGATTCCCGGCCGGGTCAATGTAGATAACTAACTTCTCTATATTTTCTAGGGCGTGTCGGGGAGTTTGTGGTACCGTTATTGTTTCCGATTTCCATAGCATAAGTGTTTTAGCTACTTACTTTGGGATCAGAACAACGCATGTGATGTTATCTAATATTTATTAGGAAAGGAAATTGAACTTCTTGAAAAATTTAGATTCTGATGAACTGCTGAGTTCACCATGATGGACTGAATGCATTTTATAACTCTCCTTTCGATCTTGATGTGTTCGTAGAACCTTTAAAATTCTCTTCCGAAAAGTTGTCATTTTGCAAAATTTGAATCTCTTTGCCGACGTGCTTCTGTATTCTATTTATGAATCAACAAAAGCTCCTGATACATGGGCACATATAAAAATAGTCCACCACGTATATTGAACAGGTATTCTACAGTCTTATCGGTATTCTACAGGATATATAACAGAGAGTGTGCGGTGGAATGGCATAATTTGATTCCGCCTTCCCCTTACCTTCATCGAGGGACTAGACGTAGCCTGGGATTCCACCGCTATGTTGTGGATATTCCCAAGATTCTCAAGAAGAAGAACTCACGAAGCGTTTCTCTTCCATATTTATATGGCGAGCGGTTAGAAAGTGGGATTCACTTGGAATGGATGGAATTAACTTGAATCTTTTCAATAGACATTGTTTAGGTGTGCATGCTCCATCGTCGACCTTATCATCACTTTCCATCAAGTAAGATGGAGGTGAAAAGCGCACATATTTTTTATAAAAAAAGGTGAATCTCGAAAAAAGCATGGAGCTCGTCACGGATAGCCTAGATACGTACGTGAATGTTAATTAATTGAGCTTGGAGCAGTCTTGTTTATATGTGATTAATCCGATCATCAAAACAGACGTCCGTCATATGTCGTTATCACGCCTGAAACCGCCCCACTGCGTTATCAACGGTGACGTCAATTACTGTAATTCGCTCCGAATAATAGGCGCCGCACAGGGCCGCCGTCAGGGCGGGATGTTTACCGTTTGAGTAAACTTACTACACCTCTGGGAAAGCTTTTGTTTAGAAAAGGATTACCGTAAGTACGTAAGTGTGATAAAGAACTGTGAATGTATAAAATATCTACTATTATTAACTAACTAATTTATAGTAAAGCTTCTTGTGAAAGAGTTCATCCAGGGAAGTACTGCCACCTTACCTAATTCTGCCGCCAAGCAGTAATGTCAGCATTACTGTGTTCCGGTTTGGGAGGGTAAGGGTGCTGGTGAAATTACAGGCACATGGGACTTGACAGCTTATATCTCAGAGTGACGAGCGCAGTGGCAGTGCCCCCAAGATCTTTGCGATTTAAAGGTCTGAGTGTGACTGCAACTGTTATGGACAGCCGTGTAGCTTACCATCAGGTGCACGACTTGTTCGTTCCGTCACTTGATATTATAAAAAAAAAACTATTTAGAAACTCCCTCTTCCTAATCCCTTTTGCAAATTTCCTCTTATTTTATAAATTTCCCAGTTTTAAAGACAAAAATCGAAAACCTTGCGAAAACAAAGCATGAAAAAGAAGAAAAATTAATAGTAAACTTTGAATAAAGAAAGAGAAATTTAAGCTGGACAGTTGTCTCCAATAAGAATAATGGCGGCAATCGGCAAGTCGATTTTGTTCAATTATGAACAATTTAAGGAAACTCGATCTAAGGACGGGAAATAAATAATATATTTTTTTATTTACTAGTATCTTGAGGGTTTTATTACTTATACCCTGGTACTCATAGTATAGGGAATGCCTTAGTTTTGAGATCAGGTCGTTGGTGTGGTTGTCTGGTGCGTTATTATTATTTAAATATCGTTAACATTGAACAAAACAATAAATGTATGGTCAAGAGTACATCAAACTTGATATTTTGAACTTAAGATACCCTTATCGTAATAGAGATTGAAATTAAATCTTAAGTGTCAAGCTTCATAAGCTATTGACCTTGTACCTTTAACTCTTCTAGTTAAAAGTACGCAATTTTATAGGGGGCGTCCTGGGGCATCGTGCTCAGGAAGGTGATAACGTTTCTCCTCTGGATAGGCAAACTTATCTCGATCTACTCGAAGATTTGAAATAAACGTTTATTTATAACATTATTTCATTCATTCATCCATCGGTTGATTGTTATTTGAGTTCAACATTTGATTTCCTATTATTTGACCAACCGCTAGAGTTTCTTACTCATTCTTCTCAGGGCAAACTGCCTTGCGAATGAGTAGTTAATGTGACTTATTTAACTATGACAAAAAGATAGATATATGTCGACTTCTAAACTTTTTACCATTATTATTTATCACCATAGTTGTAAACTATTCACATTTAATCGCGTATATTTGTTTTTTCAAACGAACTACAAGAAGCTGTAGAGCTTCTTGTGAAAGAGTTCAGCCAGGGAAGTATTGCCACCTTAACTATACCTGCCGGTAAGCAGAAATGTGGGCATTACTGCGTTCTGGTTTTGAAGGGAAAGGGTGCTATAGAAATTACAGGCACATTGAACTATTCAACTTATGTGTCAGGGTGACAGGCGCATTGGCGGTGCCCCTTAGATATTTGCGATTTTAAGCTCTGAGTGGCACTGCAACTGTTATGGACAGGCGTGTAGCTTACCATTAAGCGCATGACTTGTTCGTCCCGTCACGATATTATAAAAAATTTTTTTGATTGATTTTTTCAATTTACGCAATTATGCCTAATATGAATCTTTTTTTACCAAGTGACGATGACGGTGCAAACAAGTGTTGAGCCTGGTGGTAAGTGGCACGCCTGTTCATAGCAGTTGCAGTAACTTCGGAGTTGAAAGTTGGAAAATTTTACATCAAAATTGTAAATTACATCATAAAGTGGACAATAATCACGCGTACATGAGTAACTTTTTACATTAACAAATAGATTAGTGCATTATGATTTTCGTTGTAATGACTGCAACAAGATGAATTTACTCTGTAAGTATAAACTATTATATGAATGCTTTGTCTAAATCCGTCCCGCTAAAGCCAGTACCTAAGTTCCGAAACGGACGTCAGTCGCACCAGAGTAGAGCCAGCGGCAAGGCGGCTCATGAGTGGAGGAAACGCGCCCGCGCCGCGTGCGCCTACTCGCGCCCACTCCACTAATCCCTCTTGGTAGATCCCTTTGGCATAAGTGATAGGAATAAAAAGGCCTAGAGATAAATTTCAGTGCCACTAGTAAAAAAAACTTATCAACGTACGTTAACAATACAACGTCTATATTTTATAAGCCATGGAATAGCGAAAACATGCTTAAATGGTTTCTCTACGTAAGTTATCATTACTGATAATAAGGACGTAGGCGCGAAAAACGGGACACTGGCAACATTGGTTAACATTTTATCTTTTTACGTTATCTGTTATCGCGAATCCGATGATTATATAGTGAAAACAGTTGAATCAAGGCGAAAAATCTTTCATACGGAAATGTACAAAATCTTATTTTGTACAACAAGTATTGTAGTTAATCTGTGCCTATTTTGCATTGGATATGTAGCCGGTCAAGGTCAGTATAATGTTTTTCCACATGTATCAAATAACAACGCGTCGAAAATTGTTATCACGTATTAGTGATAATATTTTCCTTTTAGTGTTCTTCGATTGCCTGATGTGTAACTATAATGCTTTGCATTATGTAGGGAATATTATAGCAAATGCTACAGGTGTATACAACTCAAAGTAATTTACTAAACAAGTGACTCGATTTTAATGTAAACAAAAGTTCTTACAATTCACATATGAAACCAAAAGCAGTTGTAACTCAAGGATGGTGGAATTGAGAAAACAGATTTGGAAGTTTAAAAAAATTACTTATAAATTCTTATAAACGGAACTTATTGTTATTAATAATAAATTTAGTTTATTTAGACATCATAGATCAATTTGTTAGTAGCACACGAAAACTTAACATTAACTTTATATATACGTTTAGAAAGCTTCAAGTTTAGACTCACTGATAGAAATAGAACGCATACTTCCCGATATAATGGAAAAAAGATATTTATACCGTTGTACGCGGATGGGCTCCAAAGCAAAGAATCAAATATAAGATGACCTGAACGTGGAAAATATAAAGGAGTGGTCAACGACCTTCAAAAACTATAATATACGGCGAGAATATTTGTGCATTTTTATAAGGTTCACCCTAGGCAATCGCCGGAAGTAAAAAATATACGAAATTCAAATAAACAAGATGGCCGCCATTCAAATTTCAAGGTCTTCTATAACGGAAACTATTAGAGATAAGTAGGAGGTGCACGAAGGAATGTCATAAAGGGTAAGGGCGCGTTCAAATTAGCCGCTGTTAGCCGCGCTGCAGCAGCGCTGCAGAACCCGCGGCGGCGGTCGCGCTGCGACCGCGCGGCGGCCGCGCGACTGTCGCGCTGCTGAAGTGCGATGTTTTATCTTTCGACTCAGTTACGCGACGGATTCTGACGAAGAAACGTTACTTTCACTTATTTGGTTAAAACTGAAAAAAAATAGTTAAAAAGAATACCGGAATGTATTAATATAATCGACAACGTATAATCGACATTATCGATCGACAACGAAAATTATAGACGTTTTCGAGTTTGTTTGGGAGTGCTTATTGAGAACGTGGCATTAATTTCTAAATCCAAGATGGTTGCCAAGAATTTTCAAAGATTTATTTTTGGTAATCTTTATGGGAATGGCATTTATATCTGAATACGTGATGCCTAACACGACTTTTCTAAATCCAAGATGGTGGGCACGATTTTTCGAATAATGGCAAGTTGGGTATCGTTTTCGAGGTATTTGGGGGTGCTCATTACGAATATAGCACTTATTTGTAAATCCAAGATGGC